CGGATAAAATGTGTCTGGATTATGATAACTTCGGATAAAATTTGTCTGGATTATGATAACGTTTGATAAAATGTGTCTGGATAATGATAACTTTTGGTAAAATGTGTCTGGATTATGATAACTTTTGGTAAAATGTGTCTGGATTATGATAACTTTTGATAAAATGTGTCTGGATTATGATAACGTTTGATAAAATGTGTCTGGATAATGATAACTTTTGGTAAAATGTGTCTGGATTATGATAACTTTTGGTAAAATGTGTCTTGATTATGATAACTTTGGATAAAATGTGTCTGGATAATGATAACTTTTGATAAAATGTGTCTGGATAATGATAACTTTTGATAAAATGTGTCTGGATTATGATAACTTTGGATAAAATGTGTCTGGATTATGATAACTTTTGATAAAATGTGTCTGGATTATGATAACGTTTGATAAAATGTGTCTGGATAATGATAACTTTTGGTAAAATGTGTCTGGATTATGATAACTTTTGGTAAAATGTGTCTGGATTATGATAACTTTGGATAAAATGTGTCTGGATAATGATAACTTTTGGTAAAATGTGTCTGGATAATAATAACTTTTGATAAAATGTGTCTGGATAATGATAACTTTTGGTAAAATGTGTCTGGATAATAATAACTTTTGATAAAATGTGTCTGGATTATGATAACTTTTGGTAAAATGTGTCTGGATTATGATAACTTTTGGTAAAATGTGTCTGGATAATGATAACTTTTGGTAAAATGTGTCTGGATAATGATAACTTTTGGTAAAATGTGTCTGGATAATAATAACTTTTGATAAAATGTGTCTGGATTATGATAACGTTTGATAAAATGTGTCTGGATAATGATAACTTTTGGTAAAATGTGTCTGGATTATGATAACTTTTGGTAAAATGTGTCTGGATTATGATAACTTTGGATAAAATGTGTCTGGATAATGATAACTTTTGGTAAAATGTGTCTGGATAATAATAACTTTTGATAAAATGTGTCTGGATAATGATAACTTTTGGTAAAATGTGTCTGGATAATAATAACTTTTGATAAAATGTGTCTGGATTATGATAACTTTTGGTAAAATGTGTCTGGATAATGATAACTTTTGGTAAAATGTGTCTGGATAATAATAACTTTTGATAAAATGTGTCTGGATTATGATAACTTTTGGTAAAATGTGTCTGGATTATGATAACTTTTGATAAAATGTGTCTGGATAATGATAACTTTTGGTAAAATGTGTCTGGATAATAATAACTTTTGATAAAATGTGTCTGGATTATGATAACGTTTGATAAAATGTGTCTGGATAATGATAACTTTTGGTAAAATGTGTCTGGATTATGATAACTTTTGGTAAAATGTGTCTGGATTATGATAACTTTGGATAAAATGTGTCTGGATAATGATAACTTTTGGTAAAATGTGTCTGGATAATAATAACTTTTGATAAAATGTGTCTGGATAATGATAACTTTTGGTAAAATGTGTCTGGATAATAATAACTTTTGATAAAATGTGTCTGGATTATGATAACTTTTGGTAAAATGTGTCTGGATTATGATAACTTTTGGTAAAATGTGTCTGGATTATGATAACTTTTGGTAAAATGTGTCTTGATTATGATAACTTTTGGTAAAATGTGTCTGGATTATGATAACTTTTGATAAAATGTGTCTGGATTATGATAACGTTTGATAAAATGTGTCTTGATTATGATAACTTTGGATAAAATGTGTCTGGATTATGATAACTTTTGATAAAATGTGTCTGGATTATGATAACGTTTGATAAAATGTGTCTGGATAATGATAACTTTTGGTAAAATGTGTCTGGATTATGATAACTTTTGGTAAAATGTGTCTTGATTATGATAACTTTGGATAAAATGTGTCTGGATAATGATAACTTTTGATAAAATGTGTCTGGATAATGATAACTTTTGATAAAATGTGTCTGGATTATGATAACTTTGGATAAAATGTGTCTGGATTATGATAACTTTTGATAAAATGTGTCTGGATTATGATAACGTTTGATAAAATGTGTCTGGATAATGATAACTTTTGGTAAAATGTGTCTGGATTATGATAACTTTTGGTAAAATGTGTCTGGATTATGATAACTTTTGGTAAAATGTGTCTGGATAATGATAACTTTTGATAAAATGTGTCTGGATAATGATAACTTTTGGTAAAATGTGTCTGGATAATAATAACTTTTGATAAAATGTGTCTGGATTATGATAACTTTTGGTAAAATGTGTCTGGATTATGATAACTTTTGGTAAAATGTGTCTGGATAATGATAACTTTTGATAAAATGTGTCTGGATTATGATAACTTTTGGTAAAATGTGTCTGGATTATGATAACTTTTGATAAAATGTGTCTGGATTATGATAACTTTGGATAAAATGTGTCTTGATTATGATAACTTTGGATAAAATGTGTCTGGATAATGATAACTTTTGATAAAATGTGTCTGGATTATGATAACTTTTGGTAAAATGTGTCTGGATTATGATAACTTTTGATAAAATGTGTCTTGATTATGATAACTTTTGATAAAATGTGTCTTGATTATGATAACTTTGGATAAAATGTGTCTGGATTATGATAACTTTGGATAAAATGTGTCTGGATAATGATAACTTTGGATAAAATGTGTCTGGATTATGATAACTTTTGATAAAATGTGTCTTGATTATGATAACTTTGGATAAAATGTGTCTGGATTATGATAACTTTGGATAAAATGTGTCTGGATAATAATAACTTTGGATAAAATGTGTCTGGATAATAATAACTTTGGATAAAATGTGTCTGGATAATGATAACTTTGGATAAAATGTGTCTGGATAATGATAACTTTGGATAAAATGTGTCTGGATTATGATAACTTTGGATAAAATGTGTCTGGATAATGATAACTTCGGATAAAATGTGTCTGGATTATGATAACTTTGGATAAAATGTGTCTGATCGGATAAAATGTGTCTGGATAATGATAACTTTTGATAAAATGTGTCTGGATTATGATAACTTTGGTAAAATGTGTCTGGATTATGATAACTTTTGATAAAATGTGTCTTGATTATGATAACTTTGGATAAAATGTGTCTGGATTATGATAACTTTTGATAAAATGTGTCTGGATAATGATAACTTTGGATAAAATGTGTCTGGATAATGATAACTTTTGATAAAATGTGTCTGGATAATGATAACTTTTGATAAAATGTGTCTGGATAATAATAACTTTTGATAAAATGTGTCTGGATTATAACTTTGGATAAAATGTGTCTGGATTATAACTTTGGATAAATTGCTACGATCGAAACATATAGAAAAAGTGTGCTACTTATCTCATCCTTTGCATTATCCCCGCTCAGAAATAGCAGTTGTCTCCCTTCTTACCCTGATATGCTGATCATCTTTTCAAAGGTAAGAAAAACGCCGACAACGATTTTCTAAAGATAGTAACAACGACCTTGACCCAATAACCCCGAATCTAGAACTTGTCTATGATATTTTGGTGAATCATCTGCGTATGAAGTTTCATGAGACCGGCCTTTAAACATCAAACATTTAAAATCGACCATTATATCTTTGACAAGTTTTAGTGTTGTTTGGTCAAGGTTTATTTTACTATATTTTTTTTCGAAAATCATTGTCAACGCTCTAGCAGGCTCATTTTTTTATCAAACAACAACTCTTATATCTTGTACGAGGGGGGACACGTATTGAGTTAGAAATACACAGTAGAATTGTTTAAAATGAGAATGCGTTATTGTGATTTATTTTGGGTGCCGTGACCAGGTCCACCACGATCATGTAGGGTCAGTGCCAAGACGATTATGATTCCTTAGTGAGAGTAATCCTCCTTGTAGAGTTATTTTAAGGATGGTTGGTCATTGTATGGAGTTTGTGCGAATCTGTTGTTGGTTTACGTTGGATTTTGTAGTCATCATGTGAGCGCCAATAGTTATATAACAATCTAACTACTTGTACTTTATTCTCTAGTTTGATTTTTTTATTTGATTTAAACATATTTGATTTGTCCTATAACAAAAAGGATTAGGCACAAGTTATCACAACTTATAAACGCCTTCTCCAAAAGATTTCATAATACAAGTCACATGACAAAAATAACAATTTTTGATAAAATATACTGATATACGAATAAAGAAAGATAGGTGGAAAAGGAAGGAAGGAAGGAAGATAGGAAGGAAGGAAGGAAGAAAGGAAGACAGGAAGGAAGGATGGAAAACAGGAAGACAGGAAGGAAGGATGGAAAACAGGAAGACAGGAAGGAAGGAAGGAAAACAGGAAGACAGGAAGGAAGGAAGGAAAACAGGAAGACAGGAAGGAAGGAAGGAAAACAGGAAGACAGGAAGGAAGGATGGAAAACAGGAAGACCGGAAGGAAGGAAGGAAAACAGGAAGACAGGAAGGAAGGAAGGAAAACAGGAAGACAGGAAGGAAGGATGGAAAACAGGAAGACAGGAAGGAAGGAAGGAAAAAAGAAGAATGACGTAGAAAATAGATTTATAATGACATAACATATAAATATGATACTAACCTTAAAATCTAATATTATTTTTTATGTTTGAACGAAAAGAAAAATATTTTCATTATCTTCATCAGACAGGTTTGAGGAACCAGAAAGAATAACCTCAATAGAAACATAACAGTAACGTGAGATACCATCTATCATAACTTGTCTTTGTGGTGTATACAGTATACAATCAAACAAGAAATGGGTTACATTTTCACATACGCATGTTGGATCACTTACAATATCTAGTTGGAACACTATCACGATGTACCTCCAGGATGCTATCACAGGAAAATTGTCGCCATTCTTTTCCTCATCCTTTTGTCCTCTTATTCAAAGTAGGTCAAACAGTTAGCACGTCTTATTCTATTTTTTCTTGTTTTGCTATTTTAATATACCGCCAGGTCTAATCATATCACAACACAGCCAGGATGAATCCGGAAGACGAACTAGCTGCACTAGTAATTGACAATGGTTCCGGAATGTGTAAAGCTGGGTTTGCTGGGGACGATGCGCCGAGGTCCGTCTTCCCGTCCCTTACTGGACGGCCTAGATACGAGGTAAGACTTATATTGAACCTTATCTTGATAATAATAAGAATGAAAATGGTCTCGTTCCTGTTGGCGGAATTCGGCTGTCTTCGGCTAATTCCGACACTCTTCATCGATGCCGGAATCAGTCGAAACATGACGAGTGATGTTTATGGATGTACATGTAAAGAGCGACAATTCTGGGTAGAGTTTGTTCTTCCTTAATTGACGTTCCCGATAAAAAAAAGTTGGATACGGGGTTTAATTCGAAACTGCATGAATATATTGATTTGAAAATAAATGAATTAATAAAAAGCGGTATTGTCTAGCGACCTGATGTCGCGTTGGTCATAATATATGTTTTTTGCAACTTATTCGTAGAAGCAGGCCTATGTTTCCCAAATGAAAGGAACTAACTATCACTGTGTATATGTATAATATTTTTCAACTGATTACACGTGTGTTTAACTATTCAATACGCGATCAAGCATTTTTCACGGACAGCCATGCTGGATACGAGATACGGGGTAAACATTGTAGTCATTAATGAAGGCTTAATGTCCCCGCCCTTTACAGGCATGTCCTATAACATTCCAATATCAAAGTGTCCTTACAACGCATAAAGGAAAATGTATCATTTTTTAATTAGATCGTGATGACGGGGATGGGAAATAAGGACTGTTACGTAGGTGACGAGGCTCAGAGTAAGAGAGGCATTCTCTGTCTCCGTTATCCTATTGAACATGGCATCGTTACCAACTGGGACGACATGGAGAAAATCTGGCACCATACCTTCTATAATGAACTCCGAGTGGCACCAGAAGAACATCCGGTCATGCTCACAGAAGCCCCACAGAATCCGAAGGCCAATAGGGAGAAGATGACACAAGTACGTACATCAATATCACCAGAGACGTCTCTGATATCACAATATTTGTACACACACGAAAAAAAAGTAGTTTATTTTGTTTTTATCAACAACGGCCCGGTAATTTTTTTTTAAATAATAATAAAAAAAAAAATAAATAAATAAATCCCGCACCCGGCGCACCCATACATGCCACCTTACATCAGTCTGATGAATATTCCGGCAGTGATATTTGGAGAGCCGGAACTAGGCCATGTGACGTATGACGTCAAAGGATTGCTTCGTTGAAACTTTCTAAGTTAGTTTATCTCATCACTTTCCAGTAATCAATTAAAAAAACACAAAATAAATTAATTGTGGTAAGTCCACATGAGTTATAACACATCGCCGAGCCGTGGATGTTCCCGTTGTGTCAAATGTGATACCACACTTAAATGGCTTCTTTTGCTCATTTGCATAGTGACGTCACTAAGGACTAAAAGAAAGAGTCAGATAACACCGATTTAGATTTTGTTCTGTTTATTACCTTACGAATTTTCTCATTTTCTCGCCAGACGCTCTCTAAAAGAAAATTCTTGGACTGTTTTACAAATCTCACACAAAATACGAACCCATTTAAGAACCTCGATTTCCAATATGACATATACTAGTGCAATCTGATAATCATTGAGGAATTAATACTGTTTTGAGTCTTGTTGATACCTAACTACCTTGTGGGTGTCTTAGTGGAGTTATCTCCCCTAGTTTATACTCTAGCACTATGAAAGATGTTTACTCCATTAATTTCCCTATTGTTTTCAGATTATGTTTGAGACCTTCAATTCACCCGCATTTTACGTCGGCATACAAGCAGTTCTCTCCCTTTACGCGTCTGGTCGTACCACAGGAATCGTGTTCGATGCAGGCGATGGTGTCTCTCATGTAGTACCAATATACGAGGGTAAGAGCGTATTTTCGTAACATCAAATACACATCTGTTGTGATGTATCGGATTAACTGCAATGAAAATTCAGAAAATTTCCACTGACAAAAATATGTTAAAACAGGAGGATATAAGCAATATAACCAAGAAAGCTGTTGTTTACAACACATAATTCCAGTACTATCTTAGCGCCACTTTTGTTTTTATCTTCATATCGGTTGTTAAGTTGTGCCGTTTTTCTGTCAACAATATCATCATTTTGACATTTCATCATATATTTGCTAATAAATAAAATTCCTATTTCCTACGGTAGTCTATGTTGGCAGGTTTCCAATAATCAATAATAGAATCAAGATGAGAGGATTTTCATTTCATTTGCTACATTAAGATAATAACACACATATATATGTAATCTAAATTCCTCTTTTCCAGCTTTTGGTCTAGAATTTTTTTGATTACCTGAAGCAAAGTGTTCGCAACATTATTTACAAGCTCAAACTGTAGAAAAATTGACAAATTTGTGTTGGAGGCGGAATACCTGCACATCAAAGACACGTTGTTCATGAAATTTGCGCCCTTTCGTAACAATGACATATTATGGCTCTTGGACATCAGAAACATAAAAAAATACTCTCAGTTAATGTTCAGTTTCAGTTGATAATACATTTTTAAAGTCAACATTGGTCAACATTGGTCCGCTTTAAGGTTTCCTATTGCTCACAGAATAACTAGTTTACCCTTTATTAAATGATCCGTTTTAAGTTTATTAATCAAACATGAACGAGGCAGGTCCGTGACTTTATCATAGCATGCTCGTACAAATTGTATAGCTTAACAAATAGTAATGTTTTCTAGATTCAATGAGAAATGAAAATGCGTTTTTTCTAGATCAAGCCTAGGTCAAGGAATTGAAAGAGTATTTTGTCAACAAGGACGTGCCGACGTAAATATTTGAATTTGGTTTTGATGCAGAACAAGGAACTACCGAAGGAGAATAAAGCCATAGTTTAGCTATAATGAAATAACACCAGCTAGCTTGTGGTTTATGGCAGCGTGGAAAGCTTTATGTGTCCTTTTGCTGTATGTTGAAAAAGTCCATTAAACATGGGCTGATCGATTTTTGGCAAAAAGAATATAGACGAAATATAAACGTTTTCATATCAATTGTTTGATTTAGTTTGAAAAAATATTCAGTAATTTATGAGTGTAAGATATATATCCACAGGCTACTCGCTGCCTCACGCAATAAACAGGATAGACCTTGCTGGGCGAGACTTAACGGCCTACCTTAAGAGGATTCTGCATGAACGAGGCTACAATTTCAACACCACAGGTAGTATTTAATCAAACATGTTAAACCATTCGGAAACGTTGTATTTAATTCATATTTGTAACGTCCACTCCTGTACGCTCTATCTTGTTTTGCAGAGAGTCGGAGAGAGGATGTAGCAGAACGTCTATTAATCACGGCTATTCAATTGATATGGTTATAACAATATACGTTACATTCTGTAATGACTGGTATTTTGTGGGGTCTCTATGTCGTCGATTGAATAAAACTACGAAAATTAAATCTTGAAAGAATTAGATCCATTGGCCAAAACATGATTCGTAGATTGCATCCATTTTCGAGGTTTTAGCCATGTCACAAAAATTCGAATCATCGACCATAAAGTAAATACAGTGATATGTCACTAAATTTACAAAACATCATTCTTAATAGTTCAGTTAGAAAGGAAGTATTGTAAAGTGACACAATATGGATCAACAGTTCTTCATTACAACAGCCGAAATGCTATACAAATCACCCTCCACGAAGTCATAATGTCGTGTGATACTGCCAACAATATGTAAAAAAAGAAAATGAAAGAGAAAAAGAGATTTATCAATGATAAAAAGATAATCAAAGTTGAAATTATAAAGACTAAAACTATGTCGATAAGATTACTTTTCACGTCACGCACTCTGAGATTATGTAATTTTGTTGTTAATATAAAACAACGCTCTCATCTTGTGGGATAATTCCTTATAAACATCAAAACCTTCACCAAAATATTAAACTTCAAAAACATTTCTGATGTCTTAAATACAATGCAAATGAACAAATTCATTTTGAAAATCACAAAATGCAATGAAATTCGTTACAGCTGAATTAGAAGTGGTACGAGACATGAAGGAGAAGCTATGTTATGTAGCTTTAGATTTCGAGGCGGAGATGAATATGGCAAGCACTTCGTCAAATATTGAAAAATCCTATGAACTTCCAGACGGATCAGTAGTTACCATTGGCAACGAGCGTTTCCGGTGCCCGGAGGTGCTTTTCCAACCATCAATGAAAGGTAAGGAGATACTTTGTTGGTTATCGAGCGGTTTCTTAGTAGTATCAGTATCATAATCACAGATGTTATTTTCAGTATCATTACAAATGTAATTAACAGTATCATCATCACAAGTATAAAAACATCACAAACGTGAATCCCGTTTTATTGTTTTTCTCTACTGTGTCTTATAGAAATTTGTATGAGATGATATATTCACTAGTGTCTTTTGTACAATATTGTTAAACATGTCAAAATAGTGATAGTTACACCCGGATGTTGTGGTAAATTTAGATAGTGATAGTTACACCCTGATGTTGTGGTCAAACTAGATAGTGATAGTTACACCCTGATGTTATGGTAAATCTAGATAGTGATAGTTACACCCTGATGTTATGGTAGATTTAGATAGTGTTAATTACGCCCTGCTGTTGTGGTAAATTTAGATAGTGGTAATTACGCCCTGATGTTGTGGTAAATTTAGATAGTGATAGTTACACCCTGATGTTGTGGTAAATCTAGATAGTGGTAATTACGCCCTGGTGATGTGGTAAATTTAGATAGTAATAGTTACACTCTGATGTTGTGGTAAATCTAGATAGTGATAGTTACACCCTGATGTTGTGGTAAATCTAGATAGTGTTAATTACGCCCTGATGTTGTGGTAAATCTAGATAGTGGTAATTACGCCCCGATGTTATGGTAAATCTAGATAGTGGTAATTACGCCCTGATGTTGTTATCAATCTAGATAGTGGTAATTACGCCCTGATGTTGTGGTAAATTTAGATAGTGATAGTTACACCCTGATGTTGTGGTAAATCTAGATAGTGGTAATTACGCCCTGGTGATGTGGTAAATTTAGATAGTAATAGTTACACTCTGATGTTGTGGTAAATCTAGATAGTGGTAATTACGCCCTGATGTTGTGGTAAATCTAGATAGTGGTAATTACGCCCTGATGTTGTGGTAAATTTAGATAGTGATAGTTACACCCTGATGTTGTTGTAAATCTGGATAGTGTTAATTACGCCCTGATGTTGCGGTAAATTCTTGAAATCTGTATTATGTGCCTGAGATACTTGACACATGATCCTATTCTAATCTCCTTTTTTCAGGAGTCTTCGTGTTTATATTTCCTTTAACTAATATTGTGCCCTGTTTCTTTGGATTTTAGTTTGGATTATGATTATATTGGTGTATTGTTTTCTATCAGTCATGCTGCTCTTTTTTAATCAATCAGTTTAAGCTCTTTCATAAAACACGTCACATTTATCATATGTAAACCAACCTATATTGTTTCGTTATTATCGCCCTTTTCACCTTATTTGTTTATATACTCTGCCTCAGAAAGCCATACAGTTCAGTGTTTAGAATAAAAGAAACATTTGAATCAAGCCATGATTTCGATATAAACGTTTGAAAATCACTTTTTCTCATCAATATTGATATACAAATATTTCTGTTATCTAATCTAATCCGGCTTATATATTATCAGATTATGTAATTTTACCCCGAGATGAGAAGTATACCGACAAGTCAACAAAGTCGTAATTTTTACGTCAGATACCACGTGGTTAAGATGTGAGAAAATTATGTTTTTCACAGAGACCGTCTACAAAGATTGTTTATGTACATGTAACACTAGGTGTTCCGGATATACAATAAATAGCACCTTCTATTTTCCCGACGACACCCACCATTTAAATCTAGGTAGATTCAACCAACTTTACTTTCTATAAACAGACTATAAACTATCAACGTTTATGTTTGTCCCTGTGATTTATTGGTTACATTAAAACCGAATGGTATTGAAGGCGAATTGTATGTCTAGATAGAAAATAATTTAAACCAGTAATGTCAATTTTTTAAAATTATTTTTATTTTTAAGTTCAATTTTCGTTCTTAATCTAGAGTAAGTTTCATTGAACCAGGAGTACCCGAGGATCTATTCTTTGTCCATTTAAAAAAAGTATTTTAATAGTACTACTGATATCTCTCATTCAGCCGGTCTTGCCTATTTGCAGATGATATATCACTTCTACTAAAAACATATTCGTCTTGTCTTCAAATTTAAGAAATTTTGAATAGAGATCTAAATAGATTTAATTCGTCGGCTCAAATTTTATCATCTGTGTATGTTGTCTATTACTTCTGTGGATGTAGGTGAAAATTTAGATCTAGAATTCTGGGAATGTTTAACATAACTGATCACCACCAACATTTAGGAGTTTAATTCCAAATTAATTATGAGGAGAAACCATGTCGATTTGTGAATTATAAATTTGGTGTTCTAGACTTGCATCTGAAAAGTTTGAGAAAGCGCGAAGAGAAACTGCCTGTGTTATCACGGGTCTTCTATTAGATGCTCGGATTGATTGTTGTTGCCTAATTTATGTTATTTGATTATTTTTTTTATTTGCTATGAATAATTCTGATGCATAACATAACAACTCAAATGCTGACATCCCGAATCTAACTTCTGATCTCCCGAATCTAACTTCTAATCTCCCGAATCTAACTCCTGACCTCCCGAATCTAACTCCTGATCTCCCGAATCGAACTTCTGACCCTCCGAATCTTTTATTACCATCTCTTATTGGTGAAATTAATCATTAACTTTGCGTAGCAATTCCCTACCGGATCGTCCCTTATACGTGGGATTTAATGGGGTAGTTACGTCATTATCTTTGTTAGATCTATTTGTATCCTCTTTGAAGTCTTCCCTACCTGTTGAATATTTTACACGCATGAACTTGTCAACATCTAGTTACCTTACTTATTATTTTTAAAGCAAATATTTCTTAATATACTTGTTGTTATCCTTGTGAAAACGAAAAAGGAATATTTTGATACAAAAATTCTCTCTTTTCAATGTTACATTCAATTGAGATACAATTTTATCCAAGAACTCTTGTCATGTCGTAGACCTTAATTCAAATATCATCAGACATGTGTAGTCCTTCATTAAGTCTCGTAACAAATCTTAATTTTTATAGCAATTATTGTACATATATACATGTAACCGTGATAGTAAGTGTTTTCCATATTTAAATGTATATTGGGAGAAAGCGTAGATAAGATGAAACAACTTGTGCCTCATCCCTTGTTCCAAGATTGACATTACATAGGCCGAAATTGCACAAGTAAGTCGAATTCAAAGTATAAACTAGGGGAGATAATCCACTAAGACACCCACAAGGTAGTTAGGGACTCACAAGGCTGAAAACAGTATTAATTCCTTCATTTTCGCGTTGAATTTATTTTCGTTGAATCCTTGGGTACCCCACCAAATCGTATGTCTACGAAACGATACACAGATAAAGGTTGTCAAGGATTATAGTACTAGTGCATGTCTTATTTATCCGCGGAATCAAGATGTCACGTGTGACTGGAGTTACAACTACATATTCCAGTAAATTAGTTAGTCTGCACATGTACCAGATGTTGCTTTAATAGTGTATAGAATTACGACCCAGTGCATGGTGTAGTGTGTGCATGAGAGATACACATACATCGCTATTTCTTACATCTCCTAAGGATGGTCTATATCAAAACACAAGCCTAGATGAATAAATGAATAAATAAATAGGTCTGTTACGAGAACCTTAACAAATAGTCTAGATTATCGATCCTAACGAAATTGACTACGAAACTGTACCGAGTTTGTTATTTTGTTGTTTTCATGAACTGATAAAAACGCAAAAATTAGATGACGTGCGCCTATTTCCTTTTTTAACGGCTTAATAATAACTCAAATTCCCAGGACACTGCACTGAATTCGGCCTCTAGTAAACCGGGATAAATGGTTATCTAGATTGTTCAAGTAAATGACATTAATCAACTTTCAATGTCACACGGATCAAATGTGATAGAATCTCGAAAGTTCTTTAGAATACCAAATTGGCTCTGGTTAATGGTTTTAGTGTAATAGCATGTCAGGGAAATGGGATTGCAGAAATCGAGTTAACAATCAGACTGAACCTTCCTCGTAAGTTGTGAAACAGGTGAACAATCCAGCCCATAGTGCCTCCTGTTTATGGTGACTTAATATATTTGCAACCCTTGACAAGTCCTAGGATATTGTAAGGTCTAAAAAATGTGTCTTTTTTATACATGAACTTATTTGAATGTATATATACAGGGATGGAAGCTGAGGGAATCCACGAACTGGTCCACAAATCGGTTATGACATCAGACATAGACATACGGAAAGACCTCTACAGTAACACTGTTTTGTCAGGGGGGACAACAATGTTTGCTGGTAAGTTAACGGTAAATAGAAAAAATCGAAGTCAATCAACGACAAATGTATCCTCTAGGAAAAAAAGTAAAAACTATAATAATTCAAATTGTTTTTAAAATAAGATATTCATAATATTTTCCCTTGTGAAATAAAATGTTCCATTGATTTGAGAATTATCAATATAGTTTGAAGGTGTGTGGTTAGAAACACTGTCTATATGAAGGCTAAGCGTTCATATATGTGGTGCCTCATCCACTAAATTTGTTTTACCTGTTCGTTATTTCCATTGAAGATATATTAACCCTAAGTAGGTATTGACACCAGTATATAATACTTATGGGACAATGTAGAAATTTTGGTATAAACGTGACTTCCACGTTGTCAGGCAGCGAATGATAAGTGATTAACCTAAAATATGCAAAAATGATTCTTTTCACTTCCCAAATGAGTTGTGTTGAAACACTTTAGTGGGATAATTACCATTGCTTATTTCATACCAGGTATCGCTGATCGGATGTCAAAGGAGCTTTCTGCAATAGTACCCAATAGCATGAAGGTCAAGGTTATTGCGCCACCAGAGCGGAAGTATTCAGTCTGGATTGGTGGATCAATCCTGGGATCGTTATCCACATTCCAACAAATGTGGATCAGTAAAGATGAATACGACGAATGTGGACCATCTATTGTACACCGGAAGTGTTTTTAATGTTATTAGTTACCGGAAGTATCATAATTGAAATCTAAATAAACACTAAATACTACTTGTGTATCACTATGTTCAAAAGGGACAGGCAATACAAAAGATGTTTCAGGAAAATTAACGACATGAATCCTTACCAGATGGAGGCTAACGTGAGACACAAACAATTAATGTAGCGTCGCAAATCTCGTTCCGACAACACTTATTTTGTTGTTCATAGATTTCTGCTGATGTAAGAGAGTCAAATAACTGGAAATGTTTTTTTTTTTTTTTTTAGATATAAATAAAAGTAACGAATCCAACATCCCAGCTAGGTTTTGATATTTCTTTCAATCACTTAGGGTTTTCTTTAGTTGCCAAACAGGTTTCAAACTCAAGCTCCTCACAAGGGAATAGCACCTTGCAATACAAAATTAAAATCATATTTAGGAAAGTCAAACAATGAAATATTTGCCAGACAGCTGTTTCCTCCTAGTACGCGTCAGTGATACTAAGTGCCTCTTATACTATACGCGATATATCTGTGACATTTTTATATTTATATAAATACCAACATATCAAGATAATGATATACCCTAACTCAATTTTTATAAATTATGCGTCAAAATAGCGATAAAAGAAAACTCGGTTTGCGTTGAGAAAACACATCTACATTATAATGTATGTCCTATTCAGACTACACCTGCATTCTTCCTGTGATCTGAAGCGCAATATACTTGAATTGCGCTTACTCTATATGTACTATGTACATTTCCTTTGTGACGGCTTTCTGAAGTTTGTGTAACAACGGCACGTGGAACCACCTTTTTTTTGCTCAGCCAGCGCTTTGTTCATTAATTTCTTTATTCTCATAAATTAATACATAAGTGTTAAGAAGGTACAACATGTGGTTATACAGTAATGTATAGATAGCTTACACATTCTATACAATGTACAACAGGTTACCCAGGAGGGTTTTGTTTATCTTTAAGAATAGTAAGAAATTTACAATGTACAATGTACTGAAGCTTCAACAGTTCATCAAGTTGTAGAAATTAATACAATTTGGTATGTTATGATATCGAGGGTGAATATATAAATTTCTGCACTGTACCAGTTCTGGATTTTGGCATTTAAATATATAATGGAATCCATCCCCTATTTCATTTGAATCACATATCAAACACTTTCTATCTTCTCTGTGTACATTTCTACATATTCCAGTTTCTATGGGGAGATTGAAGTTACATGTTCTAAATTTTGCTAAGATCCTTCTATTTTTAATAGGTCGTTTGATTAGATAACTTTCAAGTTTCAGTACATTTTTAAACATTCTGTAGTTTATACATTTAGAAATCATAATATTACTTTCCTAGGATTGTAGAAACTGACTATATAAAATAGAGTGCAAAACATTTCTTAACCAAGTAATATTTACATTGATAGGGTTTTGACATACATAAGACAATCCACATTCATCAAAAATACTCTTTACAAATTCAATCCATGGTGCATTGGTATTATTTGATAACAAATACAATTTGCTTGATATTTTGTTGTCTATGTTACAATTGATTTTGGCCCAAAAATTCTTATTTTAATGTTAATAATCAACGGATATCGCCCAAGTTCTCCGCAAACCATACAGTTGGGTGTATGTTTCGATACATTTAGTATGTATTTACAATATTTCGTATGTACATGTTCAATAAGGTTCAACTTTGAGAAGCCCCACACTTCACAGCCGTACAATAATATCGGCTTGTTGTACGTGTGTGTTTATGATTCTAGTACAACATGTTTCATCTGTCGATCATACATTTTGTCATTAAATAAACAAACATCATTTTTCTTCATTATTCTTTAGGCACATTTTATCTTTTCTCTGTCCTTTCCTCCATCTTTTCTTATCTATAACTGTCTTATTCTTTCTCTCTTTAGAAACAGTACAACGCATCATGTTTTTTCTCTTGAAATAATGAATATGTTTTGCTTTAGTTACATGTATATGAGTATAAGTATATATGCTAAAAGATATGAATTCCCATTTATTTGAAAATATAGAATATTAAAAATGTGGTTTTTTTTGTACTGCTGTTCAAAATTCAACAATAAAAAACTACCAAAACAAATATAACATTAAAACAAAATGGATAAGGCTTTTCACTGAAGTCAGGAAACGCACTACGGACGAAATCACCATATGATACAGTTTAAATCCTTTATTCAAAACTGTTTTGAAATGTGTTTTCCCTTATATGTCTTTTGTACATTACTATGCTCTGAAATGCAGGACAATAAATTAGATTAGTTACAAACAGTAAAATAAATCCGTTTTGAATGATTTTCATTTTCAATGGCATTTTATTCAGGTCTAAAGACACTTGTAATGATGACTTCAAAAAAAATCAAGAATATTTCACTGTGTGAAGAAGGCATTTCATATCACCGTTTGTCAAAATGTTTTCAAATATCTGAAAACATTTGTTGATGGCATGGAGGCATCTTATCGAATATTTTATGAGGAATCGGAGACCTCTTGCTCCACTTTTTGTAAATACAACCATGCAGTTTTCATACTAGAAGCAGAATAATGATGGTTTGCTATCATAGAGGTGTTGAAGACTCGACTGCCCATGCGCACTCTTGTCATGTAAACTGAACCAATGTACACGGGAGAGACTTGGAGCTTATATGCTAAAATACCAAGGTAACAATCGTCTAGGATAAATTTCTTTGTGTATTGTGAGGCGAAGTGTAAATCAATGACGAATTCCATTGTCATTATCATAAATCCGCCTGATGGCATAGGAGGATATTCTTCGTGAGGGTAGTCGTTTGGGGACACATACCACTTCACTTTTACATTTCTGACTGGTTTGTGTGTTTGGATAAATCCTCCGAAAAATATTGGTGAAGTCACTTTGTGTTTTAAAAATTCCACCAATCGTGAAGTTGATACTAATACATCGTCATCAACGAAAACTACGAACTTTGAACGGTTACAGTGTTTCGCGGTCCAGTGAATCGACCCAATAGTCTTTAGTGTGTTATTGAAGTAATTATCAAAAAACGACATCAAAATCATATCCTTATACATATCATTTTCATTTTCTAAGGCTGCTTGAGTATTTTCTTTTTTCGAATTACCAACAAGAAACATCCTTTCAAAATTATATTTATGCATCAATTTCGAATTCGCCCAAGTCTCCCTGATCGTCGATCGGTATTGATGATTTTGAACGGAGGACTTTATAAGAAAAATAAAGAACGGCGAACTATTAACACAACTATCTACACTGTGGTATGCAAATTCATACTGGTATGGAAATATTGGTTTGTGGTCTACTGACAAATTTGCTCGAAGTTTTCTTACAAGCTCAACCATATTGATATCCAAAGGGTAAGGGAATTTCGTCCACTGCGCTTGTGATTCATTTAACATGTTTTCTTTCGTATCATTTACGGACTTCTGAAAGTGTCCATCTTTCTTACGTAACGTTAATACGTCTGCACTATCATTTGTGTTGTGCTGGAAATCTTTCTGTTTTAACAGCACTGACAAGTCCTTTAGAAAACTCTGCTGATATCTCCTTCTATCGTGGTTTTTCAGCATCCAGAATAACGTTCCAGAAATAGCCACTGACATCAAAGCCATTGATATGAATATTCGTTTCTTGAAAGATGTCATCCTGAAAACAGACATATTCGATTTATTCGATCGTCTATAATTTCTTATTGAGATCTAATTTACGCTGCTATAAAATAAGCACCTTTGGTTCGTAAGAAGCAGAGTTACGGTCCAAAAACTTTTACTCTATATCACTCACTACATATTTTAGTCGGAACAGCGACAAAATGTTTTTACATGTAATGTTTTCTATGTATATATAGATATATCAGGCGATTTCAACAAAGAAATAACAAAATTCTAACTCAATCGATAGGACGAAGGCCGAATAATGTCTTGTCAAACTTGGTTAAAATTATGAGTAAAGGATGACGGCTTGATGGTATGCCCATTTTTTATCCTGACTGACCCCCAAGGGCTGATGGGTGGAGCCGAAAGGGATCTAATTGACTTAAATTTCAAAAGTCTTCTTCTCAAGACCCAGATAAGGTAGAATCAAATACTCTTCATGATTGGGAGCATCTTAGGGTGTTTTAACTATCCAAATGAGTCTCACATTTCTTCCTTGGGAGGAATATGTTTTTAAACTTTACTGTAATTTTCATATAAAAATAGCATTTTTGAGCAAAACGTTGGCTATTTCCCAATTGAAATAACTTTATTAGAATTATCATTAAAGTATGACAGTTTTGATGATATGCATGTATTGACACAGGCTTACTATATTCAGTGTCACAGTTTCTGTTTCATGATACTTGGTAACTATCCTTTAAACTTTATATTCAATATTGCTTATCTCAGGTAACCTTAAAGGCCGCTAATCCTCTTGTACTTTAAAAGTTGGATCTTCTCAATTCTTTTCTCTGCTTATGTTTTGGCTCCTTAATAAAATGAAATCTGAAAACCCCTTTTACGAAATAGCGATATTTAACCGTCACATCCAAGATTGTCGCATTTCAGCCATATGTGTGTTTTAAACAGTTCCAAAATCAAAAGAGCACTACTAGAGACCAAGAGGAATCTACATATGATTTAAGAAAGGGTTTTTTTAATCCAATATGGCCGTCTATCAGTCATCTTGTTTTCGGCTAGGGAACTAGGGGCATCTAGATGTGAAACTTCAGAAAGAACCATTTAGTACTTCATATGAAGTAGTGATAACAAACGTTTATTGTGAAAATCCAAGATGGTTGCCTGTCGGCTAGTTTTATCTATCAGCCCCGAAATGAAACAAATAAATGCACAACAAAGGAATAATGGGAAACCTACATATGAAATTTGAGAAAGTTCCGTCAAATACTTTTAAAGAATTATTGATGAAAATTTTATTGACAAAATCCAAGACGGACGGCTGTCAGCCATTCTGATGATGGTTGTCTAAAATAAACTTATAACTTACCTTACTTTCTTCTCCTGGCTTCTTCCCAACCGTCTTTAGTAGTCTGACAAGTAGTCATTTAAAAGGGTCTCTTTACAGGACGTAAAGCAAAAACAACATTCTGTATTGGGCTATTAGACGATTTCATATTTAATCTCACAGCAGACAACAAAGATGGATGACGTGACCAGCCATTTACTGTATGTATATTAGCATTTGATATTACTATCCATGCATGTTACTTATCTGATCGATCGTTTTTTACATTACACAATTGCAATGATGTGTTCACTTAACTCCCCAAGTTGATCAACATTCATTTTGAACCGCATGATTCATGGCTTCACTGGAGCGTCACATTCCAATGCATAACCAGGTACCTCGATCTACCTCGGTGGTGTCGCTGACTTCTGAATGACGATCATGCCGGGAGACTGGAAGCTTTTAATATCACGCTTCAGTGCAGACAAGGATCAGGCTGTCCAAATGTGAATTTTGTTTATCAACTTGCGCTCGCTTTTAGGCAGTGCCTTTTTCATATTAATACTATAATAATTTTTCTTGACTTCACATACGAATACTATTTAAACCATACAAATAATGTAAATTTCAAGCCTGCCTATCAGAACACTGCAGAATGCTGATATATCTTGAAAGTAACTGGTATAATCCTGAGACATCCTTCTCCCCGAACGAAATTAAAGTATTCCGAAAGTCTTGAAACGTCCTTTCGCGCTAATCTACAAGCATATCGGCACGTAAAAAATTGTATTTCCCGTTGGTAAAGCCAATTCAATCGCAGATTTTGTTCAGAAAATAAGGTTAGGATTGCAGTTGTAGGATCTTTGCATATAAGGCGATTGAATCATGATGATAAGTTGATCTGTGGCACCACAGTATCCAAATTCCGTTGCAGAAGTGGTTGTGTAGTTGACTGCATATACGAGTTCATGGCTGCCTTGCACACATTTAAAGATGACATTCCTGTAGATTATATAGGAGTATAGGAAAACACATGACCAATGTGATTCTAAATTTAGTTTAAAGTCTATACCTTTTAGTTAAAAGCCAGAAGCAGTTTTCACACATCTAAATCGTACTCTGAAAAACTGTGTCAGATATTTAATATAATAGAAATGTCAATAAAATTAACAAACTCTTCATTTTTTTTTTTTTTTTTGTAACATTCCACCTCTTGTTAAAGTTTTGTCTTTAGCTGCACACCGAGGTTAATTTCTCATCAAATACAAAAAGCAATCATAACAAAACATAGAATACCTATATTTAACCATCTTAACAAATTTTCACATACAGTTTACATACAGTTAACTTAAATTTATTGATTTATTGCAGCATGTTAAATTTCTGGTTAGTTTGGAAATTTATAAGTTGTCGTCGTAAACCAAATTTGGAATGTTTTTATATCTCTGTATGACCATTCCAACACACGTTTTGAATTTTTTTTTTCACCTGCAGTTTACTACTGTCAACTGGACTTAAATTGATAACTTGTGCCATGTTTAGAATTAATTGTTTAACTCCACATTGAGCTTAATTTCTAACCAAGGATATAATCTGTCATAAGGAAACATAGAATCTACTTTAACATCTAAATACACATTTCAGAATATGATTTTCACCTACAATTTCTTATTATTTAAACTTTAATAGTTATGCCATTAATAGTGCCATTTTAAAGTTTTATTCTGAATTTTTTTTTCCTGTCAATTAAAAAAGAATATTAGCAAAAGAGCAAAAATATCATTTAACTGTGATATTTTTGCTTATACTTGCAAAACAAGCAAGTTAATGATATGATAAACAAAAACTTAATTTGCTTTCATTTCATTGAAGATTTATAGAATACATCATAAATCATTTATTTTATCTCATCAGTTATACAAAAGGGCTGTCAGAGGGCTATCTGATTATTGCTCGATTTCCTATGTTTCGATTCATCAGGTAATTTAGAATTGGCCCTTGAGCCTGGATCCACCCCTTGAGACAGTTTCTGGGTTATATCTTTGAAAAGGTCGAGATCCCCATCCACTAACTATAGATAACATGCTGCGCATGAAGAGATAAAAACAATCGTGATGCATGAATTGACCCTTGGGTCTGGTCTGTCTGGCCTCACTCCTAGGAACTCGCTTTCTTGGTAATATCTTTGTTGAGAACCCCATCCCTTAACCATATGCTGGGCATTAAGAGATAAACACATTTATGATGAAGAACTGGCCCCTCTGAACTGAATTTTCAATTTATACCTTTAAAACAGTGACAATCCCCCCTCATATATATATATATATATAGAATTTATTGATATCAAAGAGATCAACAAATTTGTTACATAAGAATGTACTCTTGAGTATGGCACACCTTTAGTGACATTATTTCAGGGTCATTTTTTGACATAGCTGAGATACCAACCTAATAACCATATAAACTCTTACTTGGTATCAAATGAGAAAGACAGTAATGACATAAGAATTTACTTATTACCATGAAAGGGCTTAAGTGACTGAGTTTTAATTAGGAAATATTTGAAATACCCAACATATAGGCATGTGTACCATTACTGGGCTTTAAGATCCAGGTGAATGATACAGGCCCTAAGGGCCTGTTGTTTTTTTAGTGTACAGTGGAGCTGCTGTGATCAGATCATTGTTATTATGAAAAATATAATGTAATCTCTGATGCTTTTGGTCATATCAGAGGTAAATATATAGTTACACAGTTGTGGCCAGGTGAACTATTTCACCTAATTCAATAATGTATTTTATTTTTCAGTTAATTTACTGTATTTTACATTAGTGTACATGTAGGTCAAGTTGTGTATTGTAAAGTTATTATGCAAATTAGGGTCTAAGTATATATTGACGAATTTTTAGTGCATAATTGCACCTGTATTATGTGTAATGCAGGGTAAGAACTGGTTATATCTATACACAGGTACTGGTGATGTATATGGAAAGTGGTAACCACTTAGTGGAGTATCAGTGTTGTATATGTTCTATGTATAGGTATGTGACCTACCTACCTAAGTATTGTCCAGTATTACCTGTACTGTCCATGTCTTGTCTGCATGATATTTGTATGTAATGTCCATAACTAACTTGACCCTTGACATGACCTTTTAATTGACCTTTTATTTTATTGGCTGTATTTTTGGAGGGAAAGTTCTTTGTGTAAATTGTCAGAAGGAAAAGAGCCTTAGCTGGAGATAGGTGTGTTTCTCACCTCTCGTAATAATGTGATATATACAGAAACTTAACTCTTTTTGGTACTTATCCTAGCAGATCGGGTTAAGGCGTATGATCCTCAACTCATAGTCGAGGTTCAATCTTTATACGCTACTACTTGGATTATATGGATTGCGGGTGGTAAAGCTCAATAAACGAACGAACCCGACCTGGTTGTCCTAGTCATTTTCTTAGACCCATGTGCAATCCGGTTACAAATTGGCGCCCATGTAGGTACCCGAGAATAGTACTTAGCCATGCCCCACCGGCGTAGCTGTAACCCTTGGAAACTCGAGGACGATTTATTTCCTGGAGGGGGAGTATGTAACCCTGGTAAAATACTAGCCGTAATATACCACTCGGCTAGAGAGAACTTCTCTTTAGCTCGATTGGTTGAGTGTCAGACAAGTAAGCCAGGGGTCCAGGTTCGATTCCTAGCGGAGTACCCGGCATCC